TTGTYATCAACAACCTGTTRCAGGGGCGAGATTTCAACCGCATTCACACTTTCATCATCCGATACGTTTTCCAAACAACAGTTTATCACTTGTGGAGAGAGAGAAATGGAAGACGGAATGGAAACAGTGCTTGTCCGACATCACGGCTGGGAAAAAATATAGACAAGGATGTGCGGAATCGGCTAAGCACGCTTAGAAGATTGGACGACAAAACATACCACGAGGGACTCCTCATTTGGTTTGGTACTTGACCAACTACGACATAAGCCGCGACGTTGACTTGAATCCTGTCTAAACTATATAACACATCTCTAAATGCTTTTGAATTATTCATAGTATGCATTGTAAAAACGACCGTTTTTGTTTGAATAAATTTAACATTCATACAAAAAAAAAAGAAGAAGAAGCGCCTCGACCGCTTGGTTAACCCCGGGAAACATTTTTGTTAGAATTGTGGAGGAGTCAAGACTTAAAAGAGAGTAAATGTGGAAGGTCGGGTCATTGCTTAATGATTCGACATAAACTATTAATCCGTTGGGACGACAGTACATGTTTAACAATAATATCATACTCTTTATCAAAAGAAAAAAAACAATAATATCATACAAAAAATTCTTGTTAACAAATAACCTATCACAATTTTCTGTATCGATCGAAGTTTTTCGGTCAATCTTTTGTAAGATTTTGTGCAATCTTTCCTAATTAACCCTTTTATATAATAAAGGGATTCTACTAATTAACAAATGAATCGATAAAGAGTAACTTAGAATAACTCCTTCTTGATGATGCATCCATATGTTTTAAAAAAAAAAAATTAAACTAGAAGAAACTAATAACAATTTTGAATGTTTAAATTTACATTCTACATTGAAACAACAAAAAAATTATTAGAGAAAAATAAACAAAAAATTTGAATACCAAAATCAGTAACATTATTTCATCTCTTAACAAATAATAATGTACTATAATTTTTTAACTATATAATTTAACATGATCTTAACAAAAAAAAAACATAATTTCCATCTCTTAACAAATAATGATGTACTAAATTTCTTTAATTAAAATCCAAAAATCTAAAATGTTTGGTAAATTCTTTTCATTGTCAAAATAAATTGAAATTTGGTGAA